CGAGGGGGAGACGAGCAAAGGGCCAGAATTTAACTAGTTGTCTAACGCCAAGGTTTCTTTAATGCTTCATTCTTGTGAATGTACAAAAATATAGCCGGCAGCCAAAAAATCAAACAATTAGGACATCATTATCTGTCTTATGTTGAGGGTTTTCATGGTTCATTTGTGTATACATTCGCTAAGTAGCAAAGAAAAAAAATTAATAAAATTATTTTTTCTAATACCTGATGAAAACCGGTATCAATATGAAAGGTTTCATCGATGTTTAAAAATAAAGATATTACCTGCACGAATGTGTTTCTAGGTAAAGAACTTCTCCCTTCTTCAAGCGCGCAGATGTATAGAGGGGCTTTTTCAGACCCTTGTCGGCAACAATACTTATACTGTACTTGATCCTGCATAAATAACCATGAAATCAGAAAGAAACTCAACACTTGATGAAACAAGCTGCAATTAAGAGACTGTCAAAAGTAAATTGTCTATATATATATATATATACATATTTAGCAAACAAATGGGAACACTTTTGATGGAAATCCCAACTCAGTCTGGAGAAGATTTTTTTAAGCTATGGCATCATAAGTATATGAAATTGACAGGAAAGGGGTCAAATTTGACAGAATATTGACCACAAATCATAGTTTTGGAGGCAGTAGTTGCTTCAATCACAAAAGAGGCTAGATCTAGATTTCCATTGACTTGACTCAGTGTAAGCTGATGAGTGGAGTTGATGTTTGTTGAATCATGGGTGCTTGGAGTATCTGGTATTGGCTCCTATTACAACATTTGGGGAGAGGAAGATTAGTGATCAGCAGCCAGCAAGCATCTTGCCAGACAGAGGGACATGACAAGTGAGACTCAACCATGAGCAGACATTTACACCTGAAAGGACATCTTTTTTATTTTTTAAACAATTAAAAACATGATAAAGAATATATTATAAATTTTTAGAAATATTTTAGTTAATTGCAATACATTTTAAATATTTTAAAGGTTTCAAATTTATTAAAATTTTTACTTGTTTTTTTTTAAAAAAAGGTATTTAGAGACAAGGACTTTTTTAGAATTAGAAAAAAATCTTGTGATAGTGTCATTTTAAAAAATTGTATTTAAAAAAATGTATTTACTTGCTTCAGAAGCAAAATCCCAATAGGGCTTCTTATCCTAATACTTGACATATGCTCTAGGGATTTGAAGACCAATAAACATTAGTCCTTTCGCTGTTAGGTGGCTTCACATATTTGTAGTTTTTTGGCCCCTTGGGAAAGAGCCGGGTCTTCCTTCTTAGTCTTCAGGTCTTTTCTTCTGCCTAGTTGAGGGGATGGGTGCAGAATAAAGAGCCTAAAATGCTTAGAAAAGGAACCTAATTGCTGTATCTATGGCTGGAACAAATCGTCAGAATTTTTAATTAACCTGTAAATCTTATAAATGTTATTTGGAATAGAATGATTTCATACAACCTCTTTATGTGCTAAGGTACATGGCTTTTTCAGCAGTATACATTTGTCTATAATCCAAAGAGGCTATCTTAAATTTAGTTTTCGCGCCCTTTTCCTTTTTTTCTTTTTCTTTTCTTTTCCTTATCTTTCTTTCTTTCTTACATTAAACTTTCCCCTATCTTTCTTTCTTACATTAAATTTTCCTATAAGCTGAAAATTTTATAAAGAAACTGATACCTCGTATGTTAGTTTGTCCAGACACCTAAACTGTACCCAAAAACCAACGCTACTTAACAGCATATCAAATGAAAATCTCAAACCATCAACACATCAAAGCATGTAGAAGATCTGAAGAATACCAAGGTTCATTGCAGAGGTTGTACTGTATTGTAACTTCTCGTACAAATCTTTGTTGCCGCAGTGCATTCTGATGAATTAAACAACGTAAGCTTATTTTTGCACAAATTACAAAATATAAGCACCAAAAAGAACCCATGCTCCATATGTGCAGCTAAAGGTAAAGCAACAATACGAGAATAAAATTTTAAATTAAAATGAAAAGCAAGTAATACCGAAGCTGCAGCCCTTGTAGTCATCGTTCGCTCAACAGCAACTGGAGCCAGGGTAGGCTCTACGGTGGAAGAATGTACAAGACAAGGCTCGAGATCAATGGTTCCACCACCTCTCTGAAATCAAAATGAAGCATAAAGCATCAGAAATGGAAAATGCTAACAAT